TTCTTATCGGATCCCCAGACTCAATGATACCCCTTTTGGACCCAGGTCAATCGTGAATAAGATACGTGATCTCTCCCCATGTGAAGCGGCCACACATCCTCGACCATCACTCCCCCAACCCAGTACATAAACCCAACCCACCCTCAGGTCGAGAAACCCCACAACCTCCATCAAACCAGCCAAGCGACCCATGTCCCTGCCAGCACATCCTCCGCTCTAAAGTAAGGTCCTCGGCGGCAGCACCATCCCAAGAGAAGAAGCAAGCAGGCAGACACTGGAGAAGGAGAAGGAAGGGGAAGAGAAAAAACCTACGTTCGATCCACAATACACCCAGCGATCCGAGCACACCAGTCTCCGAGAACGCCACGACGAAGGCAATCCCAGCACTTTGACCATGCGTCCGAGACACGGCGGACGCGCCCCACGTCGGCTGCAGACGTTTGTTGCGCCTTCGCCGGGGGCTGATGATGGGACGTGCCGCACGCCACGCAACTGCACCTATCGAAACAGAAAAGGGCGGGGGTCGGAAAGGGTCGATCGCTAATCCAAGCACCACGTCAGCCCGCCCCGGGGGGGGGGCAGCCATCAACATCTTGATGCTGTTGAACTTTTCTTTTCTCTCTCCGTCGTGCAGGCAGAGAGACAGAGGGAAAGCGAGCGTAGTGTGCATCTTTTCGCGCTGCACTCGTCTCGCAGCATGCGTCATGCGCCGTGATCAGAGGGCAGGAGAGTGCATCTGCCGCTTAACGCTGCCAATTATCGTCCAGGTTCCCCGGCGCGGGGAGCACAGCACGGCGGCGCTCGGTCATCGACTCTTGGGCCCCCTTTAGCCCGTCAAACCCCACCCCGTCCGTCGTGCCCATGGAAGCTAGACAACCTGGACTGTTTGTTAGTTGAGTTGACTAGCAGGAGTGTCGCTTCGCAGGTCGACGCACGCGAGCGACACGAGATTCCCAGCGTCACGGACGACACCATTGCCGTGCCTACCCTGTCCCTGTTCCCGTCCTCGTCCTCGTGCGCGAGCTGAGCGACGGCGTGTAACACATCACGGCGTGTGGCAGAAATTTGTATTCGGAAAGGGGAATCACCCCATGTTTCATTTGTAATGTATTGGCAAAACGAGAGAGTTGCCTTCGAGGTCAAGTTTAATGTCGCTGACGATCCACTGCAATTCGCTCTTCATCAGCCCACCTCTACGAGGTGGGGAGGGGGAGTAGCAGAAGCAATAATGCTCACGGGCCCGAGAGTCAAATGCAGTCAACGCCTGTCCCATGCTGCTGTAGTGTCGCGCTCACAACGCCAATCGCCCAGCTAGTACGATTTTTCCCAAGCATGAAAAAAAACACGACCCCCGCTTTGATGAGATGAGAGAAGAAAAAAAAGAGAAAAAAAGAAAGAGAGTGAGAGTGGGAGCGAGCAGGACGCGGGACCGAGGTGCGAATTAATTAGATTGTGTACAGATACAGGGTATAAGGGAAAAGATGGGAGGCTCAGAGTCGCCAGGCCGCAAAGACCGCTACAACGCTTGCTTGGTAAAGAAAATTGTCGTGACGTGGGTGAAAAATGACAGGTCGGCTATGGGGCCCGTCGGACCTTGTGCCAGAAACGCTTCATAACACCGCGATCGTTGACCTGGGCTTGCCACTGGTCCATGGCAGCAAACTGTCGTTCGAAGCTTTCCTTCGAGTTGCCCTCTCTGGCGCACGACACAGGGTCAAACTCGTCCCGGAGCGCATTGGATGTTGACTTGCGGCTGGCCATGGGGCCCTTGTGCTGCCAGCCGTAGATCTGATCCTCGTTGGCGCGGAGATCGGGCCTCGTCAACGTCATGCGTAATGTCATCTCTCTGGAAGACGGCGCCCCAACTGAACCTTCGTCAACCGGCTTGTCGGGCCCTTCCGAGTCGATGGGCACACGAAGGGGGCGAACGGCGGGCTTCTCAAACGCGTGGGGCGTCTTTGGCGAATCCGTTTCCGCGGCTGACATCTCGTCACTGTAGATGGATGACTTGTCATCAGCGAGGAACGTACGCGGCTTCTCTTGCATCTTGGGTACAATGACATCGTCTTCAGACGTTTTCATCCCCTTGACGGCGCCCTCCGTTGAGGGGAACCCGTACTGCACAGCTTCATCAAACTTGAGAGGAGATGCGAGGTAGAGCTTGAGCTTTTGCCGGGCCTCTGGGTCCTGGTAGTGGGCGGCGGCGGGATCAAATCCAGTCGTGGCATCCTTGGGACTCTGCTTGGGTGATATCAAGGAGAGCGCTCGGGACTTGCGCCGCACGTGAACCGTCGGGTTCGCCAGGGGACTACTGCTTGGAGGGTATGCAGGCGACGTTGGCGTCGTTGCGTGCGTCGTGCCAGGTCTGCCGGAGGAGATGGATGAACGTCCGAAGGGGACCTTGGTGATCGAGAGGTGCCGACGAAAGGATGGCCTGCGCGATTTGGTTGGTGGCGGGAGTTCTTGTCGCAGGTTCGCATGGTAGTCGTCAAGGTGCAAGCGGAGATCGAGCTCGTCGTCTTCCTCGAGCCACCTAAAACTGTCGTAGAACGAGTCCGAACCCTTCTGTACCGCCTCGGGCATCCAAGGCCGCGACTCGTGAGTCTCCATGGTCTGGGGGCGGGGCGGGACCAATGCTGGGCTGTACAAACTCTCCGGGATGGCCACGTTGGATGCTCTGCGGCCGGACCTGCGCACCGTGTCGTTGGGCGAGGTCAGCTTGATGTTGTGTCTGCGCAACCTGGCAACGACAATTTGCTCCTCGCTTGTCAAGTGCTGCCGCTTGATCTTGTCGGGGAGGGTCGCATAGAAGGAGGGCCGGCGCGAAGATCTTCTGGTCAGACGGCTGGCGGCTTGCTCGGAGACAATACGCGATGCTCGCCTTCTTCTCTTCTTCAAGCTCGAGAGAGTGACGCTGTCAAGGTCGGTGGTTGTGAAGCTGATGCTCGTTTCGGTGTCGGTGTGCTGGGTGGGAGCACTGACGACAGCGAAAGAAGGCTGGCTCGTGTTGGTGGGTGGCAGTTGGGCGAAGCGAAGGCGCTCGAGAGATGAGAAGTACTGCGGGCGGGGCCAAGGGCTTTAGTACAACGAACAAAGATGCTGTCTCGAAAGTCGTAGGGAGGGGGCAAGGCAATGCAACAGTCAATAATACCAGTGGGCAAAGAGAGGGGGGATGTCTTAATGCAGGAACGAAGCGTACGGGGGTGTGAGAATGTTGTATGCGGGACCTGCATGTCAAGCGCAACGGATCAGAGGGCCCAAGTTCCAGTCGTCGAGTCGGTCAGACACATCAATACCGAGACGGGGGGACGCCCACAGGCCGATGTAGCCTGGTAGCTCGAGAACAGGCCGCAGCGCTCATGCAGGTGAAGGTTCCTGACGCCCACATATGTCCGCCTTGGCGGTTGAGGGGGCGAGAAGACTCCAGGGTCGTGGGTCCGCGTGCCGCAAGCCAGAGAGGCCACAGATTGGTAAGGTGCGTGAAGTGGGAGTGTGTGTGGTGGGACTATCACCAGACGATTGGAGGGAAGGGAACGTGATGAGGAATTATTGGGGGGTGGGTGCTTTGTGGTCGATCACTGGAAGTTGCATACCAGGCCTGCCGCTTGGAGCTTGTCTCCTATGTCTTTCTTTCCGTCCGTCCCTTCCGTCTGCCGTGGAGTATGGGTGGATGTGGTCGTGGTGTGGTGGAGGGACAAGGGAACACGCTAGCTGTGACGCCTGGCGCGTATCTTGGTCGCTTTGAGTAGAGGGTTGCAACCGTTGTGGGCTGGGGCCGTAGACGACGGATGATGGCGTACAGAACGTTGTACTCGGTCAGGTGTAAGGCGGCGACGGGTGGATTGGGTTGAGAAGAGGACAGATGGGAGGGACGATACCGTGTAACCTTTGGGGGGGGGAGGACCAGTCTGACGAAGGACGCGGCCTTGAGATGTGAACGAGAGAAAGGGACTGAGCCAGGCGAGACTTATGATCAAGATGAACACCGCTCATGCCCATCCATGCACGCTCTTGGCCATGACCGAGTCGAACACACCTCAGCAGATTGAAATTATCTGTCGCGGGTGGCCGAATCACAAAAGCCCGAGCGCCCAAAGCATCGCCAGGCGTTGCATAGTTGGGGCTGCCCAGGGGGGGGGGCCTGCGCTGGGATTTGGGCGCTTCCGCCTTTTGGCCTTGGGGCCATAGGAGGGGAGAAGGGGGCCACCATTGGGGGGAAGGGGAAGAGGACGGGGGGGGGGGGGTTAGTGGATGCCAGGCTGTTGGTGCTGGCACCAGTGCTGGTGTGAAGGTACCTCAGGTAGGTGGGCTCAGGCTGCTGGACCCAATCGAGCCATGTGGGGGGAGAACGAGTCGAGTTGACTGGGCGCATAATGTAAAGATTGGGAGGGAGCAACACAAGGGGGAAATGGTGAAAGAAAAGAAAAGAAAATGCAAAGACACGCGAGAATGAGACATGAGACGGTAAACAGGAACCCGGGACACGCCCAGAAGTGAACGTACCTTGCGTTGAATGGTCAAAGGGAGAGCCTCGAACTCCTGCTTCGTCATGTTCGCCGTGATATCGCCGGGCTGCTGCTGGTTCCGCTCTTGTTGTTGTTGTTGTTGCTGCTGCTGCTCCTTCTGGAGCTCCTCTTGATCATGACCCTGCATGTCGCCCTTGAGAGTGTCTCTGTCGAAGCTGCTTCTACGGCCGATGATCGTCATGGCCGATTCGGAGCTTATGCGCCCTTCTGCAGGAAGCGGCAGAAAGTCATCTTGCGTCGCGCTGCTGTCTCGCTTGGGCCATCGGAAGTGAAAGTGGTGGCTCTTGGAGGTAGAAGGACGGCGACAGGCCTCGTTGTCAAAGTCGTAGTGCGGCGAAGGCGGCGGTGGGAGATCTTGCCATACGTGAGCCCAGGGTCCTTGATGCGTCTTGAGGTTCCAATCGTGAACGCGATCGCGATCGAAGCCCGGAACAAGCTGGGGCTCGCAGGCTCGAGCCGACAGCATTGGTTGATGGTGATCGAGCTGTGATCGGCGGGAGCGTTGCGATTGAGAGTCTAGGTTGAAAAGGGAAGTCGTTGTGGAGTTCCAGTCTAGCAATTGCGTTTGCACGCCGTCGCCGGTCGTCGCTTCCATTCTGTTTCGGGTTTTGACTATCGCCTCGTCGCCGCCGCCAGTCGTAGCTGCCATTGTGGCCGACGGCATCGTCCAAGATGGTGAAGGCAAGCGTTGCCGAGGAATTGGCGAGGAAGTGGTGACTGTTGTGGTTTCTGCCCCTTTCCTGCTGCTTCTGCCAAATGGCCCGTGGCAGTTGCCAATGGTCGTGCCGGTGTCGGTGCTGGCGTTGGTGCTGCAACTGCTGATACTGAGCTTATCGCTGTCGCTGCCAAAGTCTGTTGAGATCGCAATTGCCGAGGGCGACCAGGACGTCGTCTTGGACTCGGGCACAAACTCGGATGCAGGACCAGAAATCGACGCCAGACTCGACCTTGCGGAAAATAAAAAGGTGGCCGTCGGCGACGACGACGCCCCCGGAGCGAAAGCAGACATGGAAGCGAAATCTTGACCAGGAATGGACGGAGAGACCGAGTCGACACGAGATCTGCCGGGCATATCGGTGTCGAGGCGCCTTATGAGGCCATGCGAATCTGCAACGGTTGCATCCCCCTTTGAGCATGTTTGGCTGCGACTTGGGCTTGCACTCGACCTTTGGATCCGGTTCGACCGGGGACTCCCATGCCCGTGCCGCCTGGATTCGCGAATCCCCGAGTCGCCGTGTGATACGACCCCCAAAGATGACAGCGCCGACACTGTCATGTTTCCCTTCCTGACGGCTCTTGGTATTTCTGCCTCCTCACGGTCACCACGGCGAACAGAGAGTTCTGCACTCCACAACGCAGAGGCCAATGCCCTGGCAGTCAGGGACCGGGGCGTCAAACGGAAGAGAGATGGGCAGAGCAGGGGCGTCGAATAGGGATAGGGCAATGACGATCGTCAACGATTTGGGACGCCTGGGTCGGCCTTTTCGACGGCGTCCTGGCACTTGACTGTCAAACAAGCAGGATTGAGTCAGTCGACGAGCAAGACAGCCTCGTCGGGATGGCGATGACGACGACGGTGACTGGCGGGAGGAGGGTGGGATGAAGCGCCCCTTGCCTTTGAAACAAAGCTTCAAAAAAGGGGGACCATGTGTTTAATACAGTTCGGATGCAACAGCGAGCAGAGCGGGCAGAGCGAGACGGCGTGCGGCCAAAAGGTATGTACGTTATTAGCCTTCTGCTGACCAGCCAGTGTTCGACACACCATGCATGTCTTGGTGATGCCGACCCAGCTCCGTGTTCCCAAAGCAGCAAGGGTCATCCCGATGCTTCTTGGGCTTCATTCTTTATTTCTGCACTTCGTCCTTTGGTTCATGGCCCGACTTTTTGTGGTGTTGGCATGTTCAGCTTCCAGCAGGACAACAACCCCCTGAGTGTTCAACACCCTTTTCAACCACTGACATCGGCATCCCACCAATGCCGCGCCGCGCCAACCCACCCTTCTGGCGCCGTGCCCGTTCCTGACATTCGCTAGCTCCAGGTCCCAAGCTCTGTCGACTGACTCTAACTGCATATGGCCGGGAGCTATGGGGTCCTTTGGGGGGGCCCTGCCACCACGCGGGGGCCACGAACTGGCTCGTGGCTCGCAGGGCAAGCCAACAGCCTGGGCCCGAAGCTGTGCTGTGCGTCGTTGTGCGACCGGGCTACGGCCCCTAATCTATCTGGAACGACCCTTGCACAAGAAAGGTTTGCTGAGGAAACTTTGCTGTATAGCGTCACTGTCGGCATGGTGCGATTATCGCCATCTTCAAACATAAAGGGCGGCGACTCATTACCACGTCGTCGATTTAGCTCGAAGCTATTGAGCGTTTGGCACTTACAAAGCACCCTGATCGTCGCGCCGATCACCACGTCGAAGCACCGGCGCGTACAACTTTCTCTGGAGGCCCCCGGCACCTGCACACGAGAGACAGGCGACCGCATTGCGGTTGCCACTCCTGTTGCAACGCTGTGCACCAGGGCGTCCACGGTTGTGCGGTGACCCGTCCTTCGGCTTCCAAACCAGGCATGCCTGCTAGGCCATCCCCTGTCCTCTGGCGGCTTAGTAGCACAAATATAGATGATACGCCGATGGCGAGGCCCCAAGGCCCACCTCACCAACTGGGAGATTCCACTCTGCTACGACTTGTTCATCTTCGCGAGATTCTCCGGCGGTCATATCACGATACATCCTCGCCAACATGATCTCAAACCCCAGCGACGTCAATCTCACTCAGCTGGTTGACGGTAAATTGATCCTGGGGTGCATCCCAGCGCACAGCCAGCCCAGCCCACGAACACTGTCCATCCACTACCCTGCGTACTCGAAGGGGACCCTCCCAATAAGCGGCGGGCCCGGCTCCGCGAGCCTTCGAGTCCAGACCACCATGTTATTACTGATGTGACGAGGCACGTTGTGATTGATCGATAAAGAGCCGCCCGGCCGGATACCATGGTCCAGTCGTCAGCACCAAAATCTGCACCTCAATCGTGTTGCATAGTACGCCCTTGACTTCAGCTCCCGTGGCTTCTCTGTGGCGGACCTGCACCTCCCGTCACATCTTTCGATGCCTGGGCTGCCAGCGCGCAAGCTGGGCCCTTGGGGGACAGGTGTAGCAGGATTCACTCGGCGTGTCCGGGCTGCCATGAGACTTGACCCTGTCGGCTGCGTATGCAGCAGAGCGGATGAGGCATTCCAATCGCACCATGTGGCTTGCGCAGCTCGATCAGTTTGATCGTGAGAGATCCGTTCCGCCAGCCGAAAGGCTCGTTCCGACGTTCTCGAGCAACCTTCTCCAGATTCGAGCAAGGGGAAGTCTATCTTGTCGAGTTCGTCCCTGTTGCTGTCCCGACCCGCCGCCTCAACCCCGACATTGGGCTCCTTCCATTCCCAGACACGACTTCGTCGTCGTCGGGCGTGTTCGGCGGGCTAGACTCTCGGAAAAGCCTCTGTCGCCCGCAGAACCCTGAGGGGGCAGACTAACAGGGTTTTGTGATAAGCCGTGGCAGGACCGGGACCCGCTCTCGGCGCAGAGGAGCATACAACGTACATCACCAACAAGGAATGTTGGGAGGTACTTGTATGTGGTTTAGAACGGCGAAGAGACGGAGACAGCCTCGTGTGCATTGGGACTGACGATGCCCCCCTGAGCGCACGCCACCAAGACAACGCTAAGGACTCTTTGAGCGGAAGCTGCAGCTCATGAGACAGATCCATGGCTTCGGGACCGAATGGAAGAGGTTTTCTTCGCTTTCGTTGCGAGCAGCTCGAGAAGATGGTGTGCTGGGTTTCCAGCTACTTGGGTCTTGGGAGAAGAAGCTGGCTGCTGCGCCGATCTCTTGCTTGATTGAAAGGCTGCGCACCACGATACGTTTAAGCATACATGGACAAGCTGCTGCTGACCCAGGACCGGGACATGTCCCACCAGCGTGGTTTCCTCGTCGGGCGATCGTCCTGAAAAGCACGAGGTGACATGGCGGTCATCTGGCATCAGGAAACAAGGGTACATGGGGGGCTCGCTGGTCTGTCGGGTCTCGATGCAGATTGACAGTCACCCTCCTGCATGTGTGTGTGCTGGTATCTATACCGCCGGATCTATGCTGTATATCGCCGATGGTGATTCTTTCGAGAAGCGATCATCGCCGCCTGGCCGTGCACTGTTCATGGGGAGGCCATGTCCATGTTGTGCTGCTACTGTTTGACCACTTTTTGACTTTCCGTTGCGTATGGTGGAGAAGCGATATTCGAGCAGGTTGTTATGTCAACTTGTGGTAAGCGAGGAATAGCAACAGCACCTGGGGTATATGAAGAGGGGCATGTGAAGACTTGGATCCCGCTAAGGTACGGGATACACGGGCTCGTCAAGCCGGCATAACATACCTCGTCCAAGATATGTGTAGGGCCGTGCCGTTCCGTAATCGACGTCGTTGCGCTCTGCTCCATGTACCACCAGGCCTGTCCGTCCAGCACGCAGGAGAACAGCACGCAGGAGAACAGCACGCAGGAGAACAGCACGCAGGAGAAACATCAGATCGCTGGCGCGCGGCCAAGGGCCCATCAGTTTGAACAGACAACAGGAGAACAGGCGCACGATATCACGGTCGTTGAATGCAAGTGACGTTCTCCTAAAAAGGCTTCATAGAAAGGAGGTCCTGCCAAGATAGCCAGCAGGCGAAAGCAAAAAAAGAAAAAGAAAAACCACATACGCAACGCCGTTTATATAAATACCCAGTGTTCTACAAGAAAAATGCACGTCTCCCGGTCTACGCACGTCCGTCCTCGTCCACCACGGACCCGCGGCCTACGCAGATCCGCCGCCCTTGTCGCCCGCCGACGTCGTCGTGACGCGCACGTCCCGGACGAGATCAACCCTCTTCATGTCCGACGCGGCAGAAGCAGGAGCAGGAGCAGGAGCAGCAGCAGCGGCGGCGGGGGTTCCACCGTGGGGGCTTCGTTCCCGGTGCGGGAGGGATACGCGCCGAGGATGCCGACGGCCATGCCGGCCATGTGGGACATGAGGTCAATGGTCGTCTTGGGCCGCAGAAAAGCAAAGACGTGGACGCCGACGATGAGGCCGAGGAAGGCGAGGCCCTGGGGCCCCTCGAGGGGCGCCGGCGGGAAGCCGAGGATCTTGAAGTGGTCGAAGCGGTGGAGCCAAAAGTAGGCGCCGGCGAGGCCGTAGACGGCGCCCGAGGCGCCGAGGGACGAGAACAGGAGGTGGCCGCGCAGGGTGAGCCAGTAGAGG